AGGAGGCTGAGGCAGGAGGATGGCTTGACACCAGGAGGTCCAGGATACAGTGGGCTACGATCACGCCACTGGACTTCAGGGCAAGTCAAACCCTGTCTAAAAAAAAAAAAAAGGAAAGAAAGAAAAGAATTTCAAATCAATTATTTTTCAGTTTATCTCAATTTTTCAATTTTCTTTTTATGTGATACTGACTGCAGTATTTAATTTTTGATGATATATCATTTGATGCAAAAGGATGTATGTGGCCTATCTATATGTCACTCAGTAAGTTAACTTGTGTTCACAGGTAGAGATGGTTTACACACCTGGATACAAAATGAGCACAAGGTCATTAGCATTTCAAATAGCTCAGATAAAGTGCTTTCACACTTAGCCTAATCTTCATATTACACAGCTTGGTCTCAAGCTTTTATTAAATGGAAAGAATTCAAAAGCTTTGAAATTCAAAACTAACCACATAAGGAAAACTACCTTTACTGTTCCTCATTCTTTTACCTTCTTATATTCTGGGGATGCTAAAGTGTCATATCTTTTTCAATGTGTTCCAAAAAATTGTCAGAAATGTTTTGAAAATATTTGTTTTCCTGAAAGCATTTTTAGACGTAAGCAGCAAGTTTTGAGTGTGTCTTAGAAGGAACTGCAAATAGCTTGTCAAAAGGTGAAGTGATGTAGTATGGTGGAAAAAAAATAATAGAGAAATAAGTTTAGGAAGGCACACAGCTCAATGCTTAAGGAAAAGGAGTTTGGTCTGGCAAGCCTCAGTTACAACTTACTAGCTAAGGTAACCTTGGACAAATCGGCCTTTTTAAATTGTCTCACTTGCTCATTGAGAATAGCAATACATTAACAATACTAAAGGTTGTTTGGGAATTGCCAGAGAGAATGTTTAGTACAGAATTAACTGGTATTATTACTCACTATAAGTAGTTAAGTTCAAGTTCAAAGGCCTATAAGGAATCACCAATGAATCTGAAACAGAGTAAAACAGACCTGAATGCAAAGTAAAGAATGTATTATACAGAGTCAAAACTGGAAATGAAGACCTGTTAGGGGCTGTTTAGTAAACTTTGTGTGGCCTGTGCTGAGAGGTGATGAAAAAAAGTAGGTGAATTCTAGAGACATTAAGGATTTAACTGATAGGACTTTGTGGCTAATTGGGGGTGAAGGAGAAGACAGAATGACACTCAGGTTCTGGACTGAACAGTAGTACCGTCCATTTACTGTGACATTTGGTGAGCTGGACTAATTATGGCTCTTGAGGCAAAAAAAAAAAAAAAAAAAAAAAAAAAAAAAGATCTGGATTTTAGATAAAGACCTTGGAACCACTAATATGTATGTTATACATATTAACATATATATTATGTTAAATAAAGATATGGGGCTAGAAATTACCCAAAGGGTAGAGTAAGACGAGTGTTAAGATCAAAATCCTATGAAACTCTATTACTTCATGAAGTATATGCAAAGAGTACAGAGATCACAAATAGGAGAAACCACAGGCAGCATCCTGAAATTCACAAAAAGTTTCAAGAAGGAAAAGTAGTCAATAGTGCTAAATGCTGCTGAGAAATCAAGTATAAAAAACCAATGGGAGGAGGAGGCTGAAACAGGGTGGTTACAATGGGAAGGGAAGAAAACATATAAAGAGGAATAGATGAATCTGCTTTCTTCTACCCAAACATTGCTAAACACAATGGTTACGAAGTTCATTTTTTCTAATGGTATCTAAACAGAGAAAAACAAATTTAGTCAAACAGGCTCATAGACACATCAGTCAATAAATAAGCACTTAAGTTATCAACAAAAAAGTTACCCCCTAAAACATTTATTTAACTGCTTTCATAAAGAAACCATACAGGAAAAACACCGAAAACTGTTAAGTTCCCACATTATACAGAACAAAGAGACCTTATAAATACTAAACCTTATAAATACTAGTTTCTTTCAAGTTTTATCAACTTATTGTCCATTAAAATTTTTCTTTATATTACTAGGAGAAAAAATATCACTACATTTCCCTTGAATGGAACTAACAATAGAGACTCTGAATGTATTAACATCCCTCTGTATCATTTTTATCTTCACTCTAAAAGAATAAAACATAGCTGTAACTATTCATATCTTGCCTCAATATCTAGGTCAATTTAGTTTCTTCTTCCTGCAGAGAACAGATTTCTACTCTCTCCACGAAACCACTGTACTAAGAGGATGCTTCCTACGTTTGTCAAAAGACCAGCATAGCAGAGACACAGTAGGAAAATCACTAAAGATCACCTTTACCTTGGAGTACCCACTAAAATGTAATCAACAAACAAACTTGAAAATAATTTTCACTAAAATTATATTTACAATTTTATCTTCATCTCTATCTAGCAGCAGTAATATTACATTTTGTTAAAAAGACAATCAAATACATGTTCTCAAATTATCAGTTAAGGAAATATTTGTGACATAAATATAGAAAGTTTTAAGTTTCTCTCTTATATGCAAATTTTCCTGACACTGGAGTGTCTGGGGGGGGGAAAAAATCAAATCATAAAAACCAAATAGATATAGGACAAAAAAAAAAATCTACCCGAAAATGAACACAATGACGAACATACCAGCATTCGCTCTGAAAGTGAGAGATACTAAGTTATCAGTAAATTGAAATAAAAGCTTATAGAAAATACGTTAAATTATTTAAATTGCAAAATGAGCTAGACTAACTCAATATCATACATGCCACTACTGGTTGCCATCAATGAGTTACAGCTCAGCTCATGGCTTATCATTGCCTCCTATCTATAAATTAAATTAGTCTTTAGAATTGTCTTGAATTTTGTTATAAGTGGGCTATGAAGTCCATTGCATTTAATAGACTAGATAGTAAGAGCATACATAATCGGCAGTCATTGCCAAACAAAGCATGCTCTTAAAAACAAACAGAAACAACATGTGTCCAGCACCACCATGTGTATGTCAAGTCATCTTCTTACCTTTAAATGAAAACCTATGAAATACTGGAAAGGGTCTGATATAACATTTTAAATCACAGAATTATAGACAGACATTGTCTCTAAAATGTATTTTTTTAAAAACTCTAAATTCAGAAATGTTCAAACTATGATGAAGGTTATATTAATACAGTGTATGTTTAGAGACAGGTAATGTTAACTGGCACTACTCCAATCTCCTAATATCAACCAGCACTCTTCTTGTCTCTCCTCTAAAAACGATTCTGATACATTTTCTTGGAAGAGAATCTTTCTTCTGGTTATGTGCTTAGTAGAAGCACATACTAAGGAAAGGTGGCCTGAACAACAAAGCCAGTGCAGAGCATTAAGCCCTGTGCTTAAAATACATATAATAAATAAAATACCTAACAAAGATATAATTGCTCACTTAAGTGGGCAAAAATTATTCCAATTTCCTTCAGTTGATTTTAATATCCAGAAAATAGATTTAGATTCATCTACATCTTGGAAAATGGAATTTAAAATAAGCTATTAGTTTAGGCAAAAACTAATCAATTCAGAAAGCACCATAGGCATACTTTATTTAGCACAACATTTAAGGGGCTACCCATAAGAAAAATTTTGAAGCACATCCTGTTGGCAGCAATATACACTGGTATTACCTTTTTGAAAGGTAATTTGGCCAGTCAAGTGTTCACATCCTTTGATTTAGGTAAGCCCACTCCAGGGGATTTTTCAAAAAAAAAAAATTTTTTTTTAAAAGAAAATATTTCAAAGCCACACATGGAAGTGTGTTCAAAGTCATACTGTTTAAAATGGTGAAAACTTAAGAACCTAAGAGCAGAACACACAAAAGACTAGATGAATTAAGGTCATACGAACTTAAGAGAATCATATAGCTATTGAATCAAACCAATTTTAACAGATGATACAGTTTGGTGGAAAAAAATATAAAACTGCACTTATTCCCAACTACTGGAAAAATGCATAAATTTGATATACAAAAGGAATGAGGGGAAAAATGAGATCAATATACAAATATCTACTTGTGCATATATAACTTTTCTTGATTTTATTACTATTACAGTATTTTTAAAGTAACAGATATAGCAGAAATGCATTAATTTGAAAACCTTTGCATGATCTGCACAAGAAGTATAGCAAATGCAACGGCTGAAATTGCTTAGCTGGCATTTGGTCTGATTATTGAAAAGAACTTTTTTTATATGAGAGCAAAGAGTAGCAATATAGAGAAACAGTTCCAAAAAAAAATTCTGGTACTGAAATACTACAATAATTTCATAAGTAAGAAATGCTAATAGATTCATAGATACTTTTCAAAAAAAGTTTTGATAGCCTACCTATAGCTTTGAAAAATATAAATCCATTCATTTCGTTTCAAAAAGGTGCTATTTATCTACACCTTTGAAAATGAAAAGTTTGAATGATGTAAGAAAGCAGTCTTACTTTGTTCATAACATGAATTTATTACCTTTTTAAAACAAAGCTAAAATTATAAGCATATTTTAAATGTCAACATATGGCTAAATTTAAATATACTGACATTAAAAGGGGGGTTGGGTTGAGGAAATCAAAAAGGAAATCAAATAGTTGGTATCTCAATTCTTAAAAAAAAATAACACATTTAAGCCTGCCACATTCACCTTTTAGCAACTTATCATTTTAAGTTTAAAGAAAATAACATCAAATAGACTTCTTTAAGATGTCATTTATAAAAACTGACATATGAATGCTCAAATATTCAATCAAGAGAAAAGCCTGTTATTGGAGATAATTTTGATTCAAATATTTTTTAATGACACTCAAATTCTGAGCTAAAAATAATGATAGGAGAAAGTCAAGTTTGATTCTCTTAACACCTATTTCCTGTCCAAACAGCCCTTTTGTTCTGCTTCCCTGCTTAATTTTAGTGTTCAGCTTGCATCAGAAAACAGAAACAATGACAAAAACTACCACATACAGAAGCATAAAGGAGCAAAAGCATAAAATAAAGAATCATAAAAATTAGAACAAAAATCCTACCAACAAAAACCTCCACAATTTTCTGTTTGCTTCACCTCAGATTAACTTCACTTGAAGCTGTACTCCAAAGCAACCAAACCTGAATACCAAGCTCCACCTCCTTCAGTTCTAGTGGCTGAAGAGCAAAGTCTCCTCCCTGTTAGTGAAACTCTTCATTGTGATTGGATACGGCTAATATCCATTATTTTAAAGAACTTTTCCTTGCTAGCAGGTTAGGTTAGACACACTAAAACCCCCTGGATAAGCTGGTTTCTTAAAGAAACAGTAGGTAATGTTTCAGTTTTCCCATCATATACTGTTTGCTTACTCTTTTGTCTAGGTGAAAAATAAATAAGAAACAGCAATGAAAATCTCACAGGAGAAGTTTTAATTTGAAGTTCAGTGAACAATTGTTTAAAATACAATGCTCTTAACCTAAATCATTTATTATTACAGAGCTATGAAGGTGAAGTTATGCTATAAAGACAGATTCCTTTTTTAATCGAGTTCACATTTTATTTGAAAATTTTAAAATGGCAACAGAAAATCCATCACAAAATTTTGCTAAGAGGAACAAAACAATATTTTCTCTAAGACATAAAGACCATAACTTAAATATAGCACCGAAAGAATGCAAAAGATTCATTTCTAAGCTATCTATCCAATTCACTGGCATTTGTGTTCTAATACCACAAGAAAGTAAACATTTTAGTGACATCACATATTGATATTTCTACTTAAAACTAAAAAAAAAAAAAAAATTGGGTAGAAATATTATTTCTCATTTAACAGGTCTGACATTCTGTGAATGTTTTGCCAAGGTTAATGCTTACTTATTTGTAAACAGATCTAAAAGGAAAAGGCACTTGTTCTAATGACATGTCCTGGCATAAAATTTAGGAAGATTTAAGTTTTTTAATTGCTGTTTTTAAAAGAAGGGTGTAAACTACCTCAAGCAGCTGAAGGGTATGTGCTTCTTAACTACTAAGCTATATTAAATGATATTTTAACGACAGATTCTAAAGAGACCCTATATAGCCACTCTGATTTTTTTTTGAGCCACTCTGATTTTTTTTTAACCACTCTGATATTTAAGCAAAAAAGACCTATTGTCACTTTATACATTACTAAATTTGCTATTTTTATGATATAAGTTTATATGTTTTAACTGGAACTCATACTTTAGAAGCTTGGTCCATCAAAACATTGCGCTGACATTAATCATTCTCTGACAGGTTTAATGGCATTTAACATCTTTAGTAAAGTATAATTTTTACCTCTCCCAAAAATGTTGATGGTGATTCATAAAATAAATTCAAATTTAGAGCGATTTCTTCTTAAAATATGCTTTCAATAAGTTTATATATTAAACAATTTTAAATTTAAATTTAGTTTTCAAAGTTCAAACTCCTGCAATAATTTTTCCTCAAAGAAAACTCATTAGAACACAAAGCCAACAAAATTGTTTTGAATACAAAAAGAAGTCTTTGTAACAAACTGAAAATTCACATAATTGCAACTAGACATGAATATGGAGCAATACCCTGCTGAAGCCCAAACAGCTGCATAATCTATTATGCCCTTTAAGTGGACAAATTGAAAGAGCCAATTCACAGAGGTCTCATCCCAAGATCCTTTGCAAGGATTCACTGCTTTGAATGCCCAGCTCTTCATGAGTCAAGTTCAGGTTTTCTTCCCACTGTGTGGACACTCTTGCAAAAGAACATTGGAAGCAGAGGAGGTACAGGAGCAATCAGCAGAAAGAATACATCACTTGAATTACAGCATAAGATTTGAGGAAAACAGATTGCACATGGCCAGAACTTTTATAAAAGTATTTTTCTATTTTTATGGAAAAAGAGATGGCAAACATTTTAATCTTAAACTTTGGCATGCATAAAACTAGTACACAGTTATGGGAACCAAATAAACCTTTGCTCTGACATCAGTTTTTCACTTCCAAGTTAATTATTTGTATGAAACAGACACTAATCATATACTAATATAACACCAAGGTCACTCTCAATCTATAGCCAAGAGAAACAAGAGATATGGACTTAATGATTCCAGATTGTTCAAATATCTCCAGTCTACCTGAAAAAGCTTCAAGGTGATAATTATCATTTTAGGTGGCATACAAGTTAAAATTAACAATATTTCATTCCATTTCTAAATCAGTAGCAGCAGAAAACAATAGCCAAAATAAATACAAGAAAGCAATATCACAAACATAAAGTTTATAACAAAGATTATATAAAAACATTATTGCTACACAAAAGCTCCAATGCTCCCTGATTGCATGCAACAATACCACTTTTTAAGCATCAAGAATTCAAAGGATGTACTGTATATTCTTTGTGCGAGCCCAGAGATTTTTCCCAAACCTATCATCTAAAAACAATTTAGAGAACAAGCCAACAAATAATTCGGTCCCACTTCATTTTTGATTAAACAGACCCTATATAAAAAATCACTACATAGACTATTAGAGAGAACTTTTGGTAGAGTACATACAAAGCAGGGTAAGAACTTCCTTAGACTTTTAAAGGATTCAGAATAGCTCAAACTGCTCTGCCTACAAAAGAAACTAATCCTGAACACTCTTCCTGGGTGCTCATGCAGTAGCTGATAAAACATGTTGAGAGCAAAACATGACTGGGATCACTAAGGATAAAGCCTGAAAACCATCATCCAATGGAGAATAAAAAGAATAAAAATATTTCCCTGGCAAATACAAGTTGCCTACAAAAGTGAGGTATGAGCAGAGCTTGGTGGCTCAGCCTGTAATCCCACGCTTTGGGAGGCTGAGGTGAGTGGATTGCCTGAGCCCGCGGGTTCAAGTCCCGCCTGGGCAACTTGGCAAGACTTCATCTCTACAATAAAATCAAAAAATTAGCTGGGCGTGGTAGCGCATGCCTGTAGTTCCAGCTACTTGGAAGGCTGAGGCGGAAGGATCACCGGAGCCCAGCGGGTTGAGGCTGCAGTGGCCCAGAGCAGCCACTGCACTCCAGTCTGGGTGACAGAGTGAGACTTCAACTCAAAAAAAAAAAAAAAAGAAAAAAAAAGTGAGGTATGTAATTGAGTTTGCAACTCCTGGCATACATCTTCTAACCCACCAAAGGAAAGAAATACAAGGCATTTGAGGAGGTGGGGAGGGTGGTAACAGCCCATTCAGGAAAACACTGAACACAAAAGCAACATCAAGGAAACATCCAGATAAGAAAGCATAAACCAAGCTGATAAGAAGTGATGACTTTCCGTAAGAGACAATAATTGTTTTGTTTTAGGTCTAAAGGGATAAACAAGGTCACCAATAAATGCAAAATAAAAAGAAACGGATCACAATAGCGAGACAAAAGTCTAACTATTCATAATCCCCAACTATTAAGATTTAACAGTCATAAATTTTCATGTGCCAAATAACATACCATAGATCATCTAAGTAAAACTGCTAGACATATAAAAATGAACAGAAAATAGACTGGCAGACTTGTAAGTTCCCTCTCTCTTCTTGGCAGCCTAAACCAGAAAAAAAATTTTTTTTTTTCTTTTTAAAAAAGCAATTACAAAGAAAATGAACTATGAATAGCAAAAGTTGAATAGGTAACATTCTCTATCAGTTATACACTAATTGTTAGTAGAGTCCATTTAGCCACCAAATCTTTTGAACATCTACTATGTGCTGGGCACCACTAGCTGCTGCGGACACCAGAGTAAGCAAAATGGACAGTCTACCATTATAGAAACTCAGCTAGTGTCAGACAAGACTCATCTCATAAATCATAATGGGAGTCACATGGAATTCTTAATTTTCTAGTAGTCACATTAAAACATTAAAATAAACAGGTAAAAACAACAGCAATAGTGTATTTTATCTAATGCAAACAATATTTTAAAAATTGAGCCTTCATTCTTGTTCTGTACTAGAAATCAAGTTTCTATTTCATACTCATAGCACATCTCAATTCAAACTTCCCACATTTCAATAGCCAAATGTGGCTATTTAAATAAAAGATGGTACTCATTAGTCACAGAACTATAAATTAATATAAATTTCTATTATTGCAATAGACTCTATATCTCTGTTGCTAAAATTACAATAGTCACTAGCCACATATGGCCACTGAACATCTAAAATGTGACTAATGCAAATGGAGAACTAAATTTTTAATATTAAATTTAATTCATTTGAATTTTTAATATTAAATTTAACTCATTTAAATAGTCACAAGTGGCGAGTAGCTACCAGACTGTATAAAGCACAGCTTTAGAAGAAGAAATAGACACAACATGTAATGAACTGCAGTAGTTATAAATGTTTACAAAAGAAAGGTCTAATATGAAATAAACCCACATAGCCAACTGCAGGACTTAACTTATTTTACAGCATCAAGGAAGGACTCCTTTGGGAAATCACAATAAAGCAAAAGAACAGCACAGCAAAGGTCTTGAATGGAGAAAACTGGAAATATAGCAGGAATAATAAAGAAAATTAACAGGGGCCAAAATAATATAAGCTATTTGTAGTCGACTGATTTGGATCACAAAACCTTAACTACTAACTAGATAGGAAGGCAGAGGTGGGTGGAGGCAGCCCCACCAGTGGGAAATCATAAAAGTCTCCCAAATAAGTGTTACCACAAAGCTTGTCCCACTCTCCTCACTCCGTAGACTCCAGTCTCTCCAATCTTCTGTCAAATTCTAAATCAAGCCAAGCACTTTGCGTACCCTTTGTACTAGCAGTTCTTTTCACTTGGGAAAACTCCCTCCAACTCCTTGATCTCAGAACTCAGAATCACAGTTTCAAATTTTCTACACAGGACAAGTTTTGGGGCAGCCATCCAGTTGAAAGAAGAGGGAGGTGCTCGCAACTGGTAGTGAAGTTAATTTTTACTAAAAATTTTTACCAAAAAATCTTAGTCTGTCATTTTTTTTTTAATGTTATGACAGACTAGAGAAGCTACAGAAACTCTCAAATATCCTTTGATACCTCCAATCAACTTAAATGTTACATCTACAGAAAGACATTCTCAGAACATTCAATTAGCACCTTCCATGTCTTTACTTCCTAAATACTTGTCAAAATCTGAAAATTCTTTATTCACTGAT